CCAGTGGGGGACCACAACACTCTAACCTGTGCAACCCTTTATCATTCTTGTGGACAGCGACTGCAGCTAACCTAGGACCAGGAGGCAGAACCAAGATGCCAAAAGCACGATCGTAATTCAACATGATCTTCACAGCCAGACAACAGACTGAATCTACCAAATGACAAGTCTACTAAATAACAAAGATAAATACAAAATCTCATATTGAGGGTCAAAAATCCGATCGCGAAGTTTGAGCTGGGAGAATCCTGTTTGGACATGTAAGTGGGTGGTGCAGGACACCCCCTCTGGGGAAAACATTGACGCGTGGACCCGGGGTCCAGAGGGTGTGACCCGACTGGTAAAGGGACAAGAGACAGTGATATAGAGAGGAAGTACTGATAGAAATAATCACTTTCTAAATCTGCCCAAAAGTGGGGGCACCTGGGTGGCTCAGTCGGTTAAGGGTCTGCCTTCGCCTCAGGTCATGATCCCAGGGTCCTGGCATCAAGCCCCACGGTGGGCTCCCTGCTCAGCGGGGAGTCTGCTTCTCCCTCTGCCTCTGTCCCCCCCGCCGCCCCCACATGTGCCCCCCAAATAAATAAAATCTTTAAAAATAAATAAATAAATCTGCCCAAAAGTGGACTAATAGGGCTGTGTGAGCTGTCCTCAGATATTGAGAAAGAACACGCAGAAGAGAAAATCAGCTTCCTCTGTGCATCTAAGGAGGGTTGAATTTGGGATGAATGGAATTTTATATATAACTATTTATATATATATATTTTATATATAACTATTATAGATCTTAAATATCATTGTTCCAGAAGTTGCTCTCACATTTAACTTCTGTCTGTTTCAATTTCCTCCTCTGTGAAATGGGGCCAATAAATATAATAATAGTAGTAATAATACCTTCTGAATGGGGTGGTTGTAAGCATTAAATTATTTACTATATGTAAATACTTGGAACCTGTGCCCAGCATATCACTGTTACAGAAGTGTCTGCTATTAACATTCTTTTCTTTTTTAAAAGATTTTATTTATTTGAGAGAGAGAGAACATGAGCAGGGGGAGGGGCTGAGGGTGAAGGCGAAGCAGACTTCCTGCTGAGTGCAGGCCAAACAGGGGTTTGACCCACGGCTCAACCCCAGGACCCTGAGATCATGACCTGAGCCAAAGTCTCACGCTTCAAGTCGGATGCCTCTGCTTTAGTATTCTCTATTGCTGTTATTGTCATTATTGGTCTCTTCCTGAATCTAAAGGGAGTTCCTCTGGTTGTAAACAGTGTCTGGTCCCCCTTTGCATCCCCAGCATTCTACGGTGGCACACAGTAGGTATCCACACATTCTTGTTGACACTTAGAGATGAACTGTCATTCCCAGTGGGTGTTAAATGTTCTAGGAACCGAGGTTGCTCAAAAATAGTGCTCTGGCAGGGATGTGTGGGGCCAATCCCTGGCAGGCAGCATGAGTCCAGCAGGGGACACCCTAAGATTCTGTAATACCCATCTCCTCGTTTCCAAGGCCCCACCGCCCCCCGCCAGGACAGCTGTCTGGCAAGGGAGGAGCAGGGATCACCCGCCCACACATTCTTCAAATGGGGAACGGAGAGGCGCTCCCTATTACATCCCTCCTCCCAGTGAGAAGGTTCCTGGGACCCTTCCTACCTGGTCATCCTGCCTTCCCTGGGACACGCAGAAGGCCCTGGCAAGCCTTGATGCAAATAGTGCTCGACTTCCTGGGCTAAAATTACATCTTGAGTCAATTTTCATAAAACGCATTGACAGATTTAGGTGCTGGAAGATGGAGCTTTCTCAGAAGGCATTTAAAATGACCCAAACAGTTAAAATCAGCTGAAACCTGACAGCCAGGGGCTGAGAGAACAGCTTTCATCCCTCTGTAGCCTTGTGCAAACCCCGGGGTCTGGACCTTGCCTGCGGAAACCGCTGTGCCTGCACTTGACTCCTCCTGGTCACAGGATGATTACCTCTCGGCCAAGGTTCTGCTAACAGACGTTTTGCAAGAAACTAACAAGTGGGAGCCCATTCCTGTTTATGAGCAAAAGCAGTCTTCCATCCCAGGGGCAGTTCCAGAGATGGATCTGGATTTTTTGTTTTAAATTCTCCATTCCTGTACTGTCCTCTGTGGGTCATATAGAGAATCAGGCAAAGGAATAGGGTCCCGGTATGTCTGAGTGTGTCTTCTCTTCTCCAGAAATAGCTTGAAACCTGAGCTCTGCCACCATCACCCCTGAAGGCTGCGCATGGTGTTGACTGTCCATGGGGCAGCCTCTCTGATCTCTAGGGACCCTCCTGCTCTGACATCCTGACCCCACAGCCCCAGCTGCCCTCAGCCTGACAGCCGTGAGCTCCCTTAGCCGCCGCTTCCTCTGTTTTGCCCCACCTCGCTCATCTGCTCGCTGTCCATCCTGGGCTGTCTCGCTTTGCCCCTCTGGATCCACTGCCTTGTCCACCCTGCCCTGTGCCCAGGAGGCAGACCTGAGTGGACGGCATCAACAGTCCCCCACGCTAGGGCTTCCAGTGGGGTTATACCAGGGGGAGGCACCGGCAGGAGAGCAGAGGGTGGAAAGAGAGTTATGTTGCCCGGGCTCCTCTTGGGAAGTCCCCTTGGGGGTTCCAGGAACCTCGGCCTCCCCTGACCTCCTTAGGCTGGGAATAGCAATGGCTTTCTACTGTTGCCAGCCTGGTGATTCATCACCCCTCATTGGTTTCCCTAAACCCCGAGCGTTCCTTTATAAATAGCCCCTTATTACTTCGCCCAGCTACCCAAGGGCAGACTGACCTGCCCATGTTGGCCCCCCCACCCCGTGCCTTTGCTTCTGCCACCAGCTGTGCTGCTGGGCCCTCGTGCCATGTCCCCCAGCTTCACTGAAACCCAGCTCCTCCAAGCGGATGCTCCCACTGCACTGGGGTCCTGCTGCCCTGCTTCCACCACCAGAGGCCGGTCCTGGCCCGACAAGGTAGAGCCAGATGATCCCTGAAGTTCCTCGTGACCCCCATTCTCCTCTGCTCCATATCACGTACCCCTTGGCCAGATGCCTTGCGTTTGGTCACATTTGATTTGTAAAAGTCCAGTGAGCTATCAAAGTGCTTGGGCTAAACATGGCGTGCTGGCTGGAACTTTGTCTCCTCTGAACTCCCCTCTTATTCTCACGGACACTTCTCTGCTCCCCATTTTCTCTGTTAGGATTATTCACACAGGTGACTCTCCCCTTCTAGGCAGCAAACTCCGAGTCTAGCTCACGATTTTGGTGAAGCTCTGCTTTTTTGACTACCTCCCTCTTTCCCCACCGCACCTGGTATGTTGCCTGGGACACATAAATGCTTACTGTTGCAAATATTGACCGATTGGGGGAGTGACTGGGAGGCCCTGCACATTCTGGATGATGCTATGCAATGGGATTTACCAAGCAATGACTACACACCAGCCACCTTACATCCATCACCTTGTTTCGCCCTCACCACAGGCCTATCAGGGAGGTGTTATCCCCATATTACATATGTGGAAACTGAGGCACAGTGAGAGTAAGCAACTTGCTCCAGATTCCACCTCCAGAAAGGGCTAGAGCCAGCAGCGAGGCCTCCCACCTTTCGTCTGCTCCGCCCTGAGGGTGCGGGTGGAAATGATGCCACGTGGACAGTCAGGGACCCTGACCCAAATGGAGACAAGTCGCAATTACTGAATGTCATTAATGGCTAGTAGAGCAATGCCCTTCTGAAGAGGCCCTTCCAGACTTTCCTGAATGAATCACTACATTAGCACACTGCTGCTTTCTATGAAGCTTGGCCAAAAGTCCTCAAAAGTAATTAGTTCACTTAAGTAGGCTAAATGTTTCTCCAGCAATCTGGTTTCCACTTTAATTGGCTTAGAGTGTGGAGAGGGTGAAAAAAGTAAACTTTAGCCCAGCCCCCGTGGAAATATTTCCCATACATTTTATGAGTAAAATTCACCCCCTTCGGCCACTTGCTCCTGCCATGCCTGGGGGTAAGGGGTGGGGAGCAGGACAAGTGATGCTCCAACAAGGAAGAGGAGGTTTGTTAATGAAGTCTGGGTTACTGAAGATTTACTGGCTATTCTCATTCTTGTCGTGTCATCTGGGAGGGACTCCCCAGGCTCCTGGCAGAGCTTGGAAGCCAAGCTAAAGAGTTGGGACTTGATTCAAAGCAGAGAAAAGTCACGGAAGGTTTCCAGGCCAGGGAATCACCTAACTGAATGCTCACATTGCTCGGAAACCAAGGGAAGGCTGGTGTAGATAAGACATGGCGCTAGATGCTATACCCAGGCTTAGGTCTTTTTTGTTGGGCCTGGACTCCCTTTGTCTCCCCCCTGAGACTGAGGCTCCCTGAGGCAGGGCTGTCTCTCCCCTCAGACTGGGGCTCCCTGAGGCACGGTTGTCTCCCCCCTCAGACTGGGGCTCCCTGAGGCAGGGTTGTCTCTCCCCTCGGACTGGGGCTCCCTGAGGCACGGTTGTCTCTCCCCTCGGACTGGGGCTCCCTGAGGCAGGGTTGTCTCTCCCCTCGGACTGGGGCTCCCTGAGGCACAGTTGTCTCCCCCCTCAGACTGGGGCTCCCTGAGGCAGGGTTGTCTCTCCCCTCGAACTGGGGCTCCCTGAGGCACGGTTGTCTCCCCCCTCAGACTGGGGCTCCCTGAGGCAGGGTTGTCTCTCCCCTCAGACTGGGGCTCCCTGAGGCACGGTTGTCTCCCCCCTCAGACTGGGGCTCCCTGAGGCAGGGTTGTCTCTCCCCTCGGACTGGGGCTCCCTGAGGCCAGGGCATATCTCTCCCTCAGACTGGCTTACAGAGGGCAGGAACCTTCCCCTCTACCATGTTTCTTCCTGCAATAGCAGGGACAAAAGTCCATGTTCTACACGCCTTACTATCCTTCCCAGGGGCTTAGATGCTGCACTTCAAAACACATCAGGTGGGATGTCTCCAGAGTCAGACAAACAGACAGATAATGAGGGACAGGCAATGTTTCTGGGGTGGGGAAGGGGCCACCTACCTCCCGCCACTGCTTGTTCTCCATCCCTTGAGTATACATGACACATACTGTGGGAAGAGGAGAAAAAACAGGGTTAAGACCCCGGGCCAAGTGGAAGGTGGGGGCCCCGGATGGGGAGGGTTCTGGAGGGGGAGGCACCTCAGGAGACTCTGGCCTGGGTAGCACTGCTGGGTCTGGAGTCAGCTAGAACTTAGGCATGTCTGGGAGAGGCACCCTCGTGGAGGGGGTCCGGGGCTGTTCACATCTAGGCCAGAACATGATGGAGGGCTCATGGAGGACTGAGTTGCAGAGATGTGGCAGGAGAGAACATCTGAAACCCGAATCAGTCAGCCTTTTAGAGCCCAAAGCAGCCTCATGAGGCCTATTACTATCATCAGCCCCACTCCACTGATGGGCAAACTGAGGCTCAGAGGAGGCCAGTGACCTGTCAAAGGTCAGAGAGTTGAATGGCATTGCTAAGGGCTAGATCCCTGGACTCGAAAATCAGTGCTCGTCCCCCCAGACCACAGCCAGGTGGGGCTGGCTCTGAAACGTACTGGTTTCCCTGGGACTGAGAACTCCTGGCCCCAGACACCCTGAACCCCTGCGAACCCCCGCGGTTGGGTTGAGTCTTCACAAGTTCCTGCGGCGGAAGGGTCAGACCCGCAGTTCTCCTTCTCCAGACAGTATCAGTAAAACAGTCACCAGCCCGGATGCACCCGCCACAGGGCCCAGCACAGCATTAGCGCTCAGGGGAAGGGCTCCCGCGTGTCACTGCAATCCGTCTCAGTGTCGTTGCTGTTGTTACTGTTGTCAGTGTCAGAGCAGGACTTACGTGGGTCAGACTTGGAAAACATGTCTTTGTCCAAAAGGTTCCTGAAAGAGGGGGAGAGAGGAAGAGTCAGCCCAGGTGGAGGAAAGGAGGGTCTCAGGCGAGTCAGGCCCAGGGTGAGACTCAGGCCTGGCCGCAGGCAAAACAGGAAGAGGAGCCTCGTGCGGCCACATCTCCTGGGTGCTCATTAAAGCCGGCACCGGGCAGGCCCTGGAGGCCCCTCAGCCCTGCTTCCTGAGGGGTGCGGCTGCCCACCGGCGCCATGCGCGCTGGGTACCCCGCATCCCGCAGGACCTCACTCTCGAGCCAAATCTCCATCTGCCCAATGGTCTAGCTTGTTCTAGAAATTCTCTTTTACCACATCTCTACCTCTCAAAAAAAAAAAAAAAAGTAAAATCAAGCAAACAAGCCTTAGCCACCTCATGTCCCCTTCCCTGAAGGCTCTAGGTAGAGCCAGTTTATTGGATCCCTCACCTATGCTGATAGATGAACCAAGGACACCCCCACGGGATGTAGACTGATTTTGAACAGGGTCCTTCCGTGGTCAAGGCCAGAAGCTAACACGTGGCCCTGATAATCAGACTTGAACGGACGGCAGCAGGAGAAGGGACACGTTGGGGGACTGAGGTGTTGAACGGGGGCGAGCTGCTCTTGCCCGGCGTCCTTGTGATCACGGCTCCCACTCTTGAACCCCAGTGATGGGTCAGGCCCGGAGTTAAGCGTTCTGCGAATACTAGCTCCCGATGCTCACAGATCCCCACCCTCTGTTCCACTCTCTTCACTCAGGGGCCTCTTCCCCAAAGGCAGCTAGCCCTCCGGGACCCTAAGACACACACCCCCTCTGCTGGTCTCCACCGCTCCTGCACCAGACCTGCTCCGGCCTGCTGTCACTTTGGAAACCATCTGATAAACCTCCCAGCCCACTGCAGGGAGCAGCAGATGAAATGACAGGCAAGACGGCTCTGAAGGGGGCGGGGGGGTGGGGGGAACAGGTAAGATACCATTTTTATATATGTTCATCCACACCAAAGTGGGCTGACCCATACCTGGCTTGACCACCTCCTCCTGCAGTGTGCTAGGTTTGGGGGCAGAAGTGTCTGTCTTGATTTCAGTAAAGGACAAAATGCCTTCACACCAAAGAGGAGCCTCTACTATGGTGGAACCTGAGGCACGGCTAGGAGCTGGAAGTAATAAAGAAGGTTGGGGGGGGGGTGCGGTGGAGAGGACTTTATTAAAGAGAGTGCCGGGGTTTATCTTTGAATTCTATAATGAAATTCTATAATTGCACAAAACCTTAGAACATTCAAGCTGGACGAGACCTCCGAGGTCACCTTTTCCAATTCCTTTACAAATCAGGAATATGAGACTCGGGGCGCCTGCGTGGCTCAGTTGGTTAAGCGGCTGCCTTCAGCTCAGGTCATGATCCTGGGGTTCTGGGATTGAGCTCCCCATCAGGCTCCCCGCTCAGCAGAAAGCCTGCTTCTCCCTCTGCCTTCCCCTCCCCCTGCTTGTGCTCTCTCTCTCTCTCTCTGACAAATAAATTAAATTAAATTAAATACATTAAAAATAAAACGAATATGAGACTCAGGAGAGGGCCTCTGACTTCTCCAAGGTCTGGGTCTGGAACTCAGGTTTTGTCATGTTTAGGCTAGTGAGACCCTGGATTTCAGACTCTGTGTGTGTATGTGTGTGGCGGGGGGGGGCGGGGCAGGGGAGAACAGAGGAGGAGAGACAGAGAGACCGAGGGAGGGAGAGATGGGGTCTTATCTTCAAAGAGAAGCAGGCAGGGCGTTCCTTGGCTCTGCCCACCCTCCCAGCTGGGTGAGAGGCACACACGTGGCCTGAGAAATAGAACCAGCCATGTAGCTTCAGTGGCTCCCTGCCCAGTGACCTCAGGACTCTTACTGAGTCCTGGGGCTTGGGTCAGCCTGCCATAGCACCTGAGGATGACAAAAACCCGGTCCCTCCTCCCTGCTGAAATTATCCTCATCATTCTTCCACACCCATTCCCATCTATGCCTTCCCTGAACAGGCCCTGATCAACAACCATTTCTTCTCCCCTCCCCTGAGCTCTCTTTGGCCTGTAGTGTGCAACCCTCTGACTTGTAGGACCCCATGTCCCTACTCAGCACACGCTGGGCTGCAAAATGAGGGGGGCATCGATCTCTCACACCGACCAGCTGCTCCTTCATGCTAGGGACCCCACCTCTGCGGCAGGCCAGACCAGCACATGACTCAGAGCCAGGGGGCTGGCAGATTGGATGGATGAAGGAAGACCAAAAGGAATGGCCACATGGCTGAGTGAGGCTGTCTCTCCACCTGCATGGTGTCTGATCATGGTCAGGGTTGGCCGCTATACAGCCTGACGGCTAAGTGCCTGGCCAAATGACTTGTCTTCCTTGTGCCTCAGTTTCCCCATCTGTAAAGTAGGGCTAACACAGTTCCTCCGTCAGGACTGCCCTGAGCCCTTGGGCATAGTGAGTGTGGTCAGAGGGTCAGTCATCACTGGCCCGGTGCTGAGCAGAGCAGTCACCCTCCTGGGGGGTGCTCAGGTTCACTTGGTGAACCTGAGGATGGGCAACACAAAACCTTCCCCTCGCCTGTCCAAGGAAGCCCACCCCCAGCACATACACCCCCAGCACCCCATTGTGAGTCTGTGTTGAATCTCCCCACTGGCTGACGGCAGCCCTACTTACCCCAGCCTCAGGCTCCTCCTTGGCCTCCTGTCCTTTCCCCCACTCAGCCTGGAGGCCCTTCTGCCCCTTTGCCTAAGTCCCTGCATCCTACACCCTCTCTGGTCCCTTATTTCACACTTGCCCCTCTCTGTGCCTCACCCCAAGTGCCTGTCCTAACTGAAGCCCCAGGGCCCGCCGAGCTACTCTCATAGCCTTGAGACGATGCCTTCCCCCGCCATGAGCAATGGGCCTCTCACTTCCAGAGACTCGCCCCTGTCCTGCCTTGTAAAAAGGCAGATTCTTGGGCCCCATGCCCAGGGCCCAGTTTTGCAGGTCTGGACGAGGCCCTGGAAGTCATGTTTCAACTAACTTCTCCTCCAAACACACCCACCTACACACCCACCCACACCCACACACACCCACACACCCACACATCATGTTTCTGATGGCAGCCATCTTGAGGGCCTCAGTTTCCCCCACTGCAACAATGTACACCCGTGCAGCACTTGAAAGCTCTTCTGTGACCCTCACCCTGATGCGCCGAGGACTCCAGGGCTGAGAGACAGTGAGTGACCTGCCCACAGGCACACAGCCAGTAAGAAGTCAAGGGGGAGGAAACCAGGTCTTCTGCCCCGAAGCAGGGCCCCAACCACAGGGCACAGACACACCAGACACATAAGTGCTTTTTCTCCAATTTCTGTCTTTGGAGAGCTCAAAGAGAAATTTTTTTCCAACAGGCAAATGTATTTTTTCCCCAAAAGAGCATAAAACCCTTCAGCTGTCCGCACAGCAGCCTGGAGCTTAGCTTCTTTTGTTCCTTAAATCAAGGCCAGGGAACAGAGCTCAGGGCCCCTTTCCTCATTTGCAGTTCAGTGGCCTTGAGAAAACAACCATGCACTGGGTGGTGAGGTCAGAAGTCTCCAGGGCCCCAGCAAAGGGAGAAAGCACTGGAAAGGTTACAGTAAGACCTCTTTGCCGGTGCTGAAGGAGGGAGCCTGAGGGTCCCACCCTCCCATCTGGGAGGCTTAAAAGAGTAAGGAGTAGAGGCTGGGACTCTCCAGTCAGAGACAGGAGGAGATACGGCCCTGCCCTCAGGGAGCCCGAGTCCGAGGGGAGACACAGCCCTGCCCTCGGGAAGCCCCAGTCTGAGGGGGAGACACAGCCCTGCCTCAGGGAGCCCCAGTCTGAGGGGAGACACAGCCCTGCCCTCAGGGAGCCCCAGTCTGAGGCGGGGGAGATACAGCCCTGCCTCAGGGAGCCCCAGTCTGAGGGGAGACACAACCCTGCCCTTAGCGAGCCCCAGTCTGAGGCCAGGACACATTCACTCTTGAGCTGAGTCGCTGGGTACACTGACCATCACACATCCCTGGTTGTCTCTAAGCAAAGCCCATGAATGCTGCATGGCTGCTCTGAGCGACGAGCTGTAGCTACAGCACAGCAGAAAACACATTAAGAGCATTGACCCTCAGCTTTCCCTGGACCAGGGGTCCCCATGGACCCCCTGGAACTGTAAGCAAAATGTGGCATATTGGTACATATGGATGCATTCTTTTTGGAGAGCTGTCATCAGATTCCCAAAGAGGTTCATGAGGCTAAAAAGTTAAGAAAAGATGGTTCACCTTTTTCCCAATATCCCTCCCTAAGCATCCCTTCAATGTCTGACAAAAGGTGGGGGGCACTGAGAGTAGATTTGGAGCCTCACTTCTCAGTCCAAAACTCAGCTCTGCCCTTTAATAGGTAAATGACCTCACTTAACCTCTCTGTGCCTCAGCATCCCCATCTACAAAGTGGGGATAATCATAGTCCCTCTCTCCTAGCGGTTTTCTGAGAATTTATAGGGCTCATATGGGCAAAACAAAGTGTTTTGTTTTGAGTGTCTAGCATGTAGTAAGTTGCAATCCAGCGCTGGGCATTCAGTAAGTGCTCACTAATGGCCTGTGGAGAATGATGCCCCATGTTCTCCGCTCCCCGCTCCCTAAATGAACTGGAGCAAGACCTCGAGCACCTGCATGCCCACCACTGCCCAATATGGCTGTCTGGCTTCCTTAAGGAGAGCAGACGGGGGACAGGTGAGCCACCATTGGGCAGAAACAGGTATCTCAAGTAGGCCCCAGAGATCTCTGGACCCCAAGAACCTGTCAGCAACACCCCGTTTCTCCACAGAGCAATTCAACCATAAAAATCTGGCCAACACTCCAGGCAGGCAAAGAGCATGGAGCAGGAGGACATTAATCACAGATACAGTCTGCACCAAGTCTTTTGTTAGGTACTTAATCTGTGACACCCCATTCACCCTATGTATTGATGCCAGGAGGTAGACATCGCCTCATTCTAGAGGCCAGGAAGCTGAGGCTGAAAGGCGTGCCCAG